TCGCCTATTTACCAAAAATTGTCATCGTATTGTGGAGGTAATAATTTTTTTTTAATCTTACAGATTACTACTTACTACACTGAGAAAAGAGTTTAGTTACGTCAACTAAATATGTTTTTCTCAACACATGATTTAGTTATAGTCACATTATTTGGTTATAGTTACCAAATCATGTGTTGGTAGAAATATATTTGGCTGACTTTTTTCTGAGTGTAGGAGACTCTGCTTACCCGTGCACTAAGTACGTAATCACGCCATATAAGGATAATGGTCACTTGACGGCCGCGCAGAAAAACTTCAATGTGAAGCTAAGCTCCGGTTGCGTTGCAATTGAGCACACATTCGGAATCCTGAAGCAGCGATTTAGGCAGTTGTACTATTGTAAGCTAAGGGGTAGTAGGAAGTTGTGCCACTTCATAAGGGCGTGTTGTGTCTTGCACAATATTGCGAACGGGAGCGATTTAGAATTTTCGCCAGAAGTTTTAATGGAAGAAAGAGCAGAAAATGAATGTGGTGAAACATCCAGAGGAAACTCTGTCCGGGATGCCATTTGTATGGATTTGCCACCGAGGCAACAGTCAAGAAGTATTCCTTAACTTTAACATTTAGATTAAGATTAAAATAAGATTAATATTAAGATTTAGTTTAAGATTTAGTATAAGATTAAGAATAAGATTAAAATTAAGTTTAAGTTAAGATTTATTTTAAGAATTAGTATAAGACTAAGATTAAGATTAAAATTAAGTTTAAGTTAAGATTTAGTATAAGACTAAGATTAAGATTAAAATTAAGTTTAAGTTAAGATTTAGTTTAAGATTTAGTAAAAGACTAAGATTAGGATTTAGCTTAAGATTAAGATTAAGTTTTATTATTAAGATTTAGTTTAATATTAGGATTAAGTATCTTTAAGATTGATAATTAAAAAATGAATTTAATAAATTAATGGGCGAAATTTGTCATAAAGATACTGTTATTATTTCACACACAGGTGCACGTATGTATGTATGTATTATGGATAAGGAACTTGCAATATTTGCCAGCTTTAACTAGGTCATAGATCGCTTTTGTAGAGGATAGTAATAGGTCGTAGCCAAAAGCAAATTTCCAAAATTATAACTCGCTCTTTATTCAGTCTTTTATTCAAACTTTTATTCAGTCTTTAGTTCAAAATACAGTTTAGTAAAAAGGAACCTTAATGTTAAGTGAAAAAAAATAAAGTTTGCTTGTAGCAAGCTGTAGTAAGAATATTATAAGTACACTAAGATCACCCAAGTGTTGGAAAATTGGAAAGATTATAATGAAGTAATCTTCTCAACGCAGCTAATGAGCCAAGTTCAAGAGGCTCAGAATAAGAATAAGAGAATAAGAGGTTCAAAATGCGTTGTATGAACAAGTGGCCCAAAGTCCAGTAAAAGCAGTGGTAATGCAAAGCCCTCAACGAAATGTGGAAACGCTCCCATCCGAAGAAAACTCAGGTTCGGCTGAGAAGCAGGCGTGCGTTGAAGCTTCAGTAAAGCTGATGCTTACGTTAATCGAGGAGCTACGGCCTAAAGTGGGGAAGAGCGCATCCGTTAAAAATAAAACTAAAATGTGGAAACTTATAACTGAGCGTATGGCAGAGCAAGGGTATATCTTCACAACAGCGCAGATTGAAAATAAATTTCGAACAATGGAGCGCAATTTTAAGAAGACGAATATGCACAACAAACAAACAGGCAGAAATGGGCTGAGTATTAATGCTTATTTTGCTTGACGAGAGCCTCTAGCAACTCCAACTTCTTTCGTGCCATCTCTTCCTTCCTCTGTGCCATCTCCTCCTTCCGTTGTGCTCTCTCTTCTTTTCTCTCCAACAGCTCCAAAACGTTGGAGTGGTACTCCTTTCTTTCCTTTGCCAATTCCTCAATTTTTTCGTACGTGCGCTCATTGGATCCTACTTTCCTTCGCTTAGGAGCACAACTTGGCACATCATCTGTAAAAAA